AAACGATGGCCACTAAGAAACCAGCTGATCATCGCGAGTGAAGACGAGGTTGCGAAACGTCGTTCCTCCACTTACATCTGTTCGCTGTGTACATTGAAACATAATCGAGAGAAGAACACGTGGGAGAGACCGGTTTCCGGTTTGTGAGACCGTTCAAACCATGCACATACGACTGGAGCATTAACTTAGCCACGTGGAAACTGGCACCGTCCTTCAGCTGTTGTCAGAAACGAAACTGCTCCATCATATGCTGATACCGCGCCTGCCTGCATATGCAGCGAAGTACGGTACTCCGGTCACATGAGAAATGCTGTCAGTTCGCTACGGTATCCGTCTGAGGAAAAATTTTGACTGGAGCTGTTCAAGCGATCTTAACAAGGAAGTGGTTGGCTCCACGCCTAAACCTTAGTCCGAATTCCTCTGTCTACATGAACGACAGACGAACATAGTTTCAAGCAAAACGGGCAAAATTTAAGGTTTCATATCCAGAATGACAATATCTTGAAATTATACCTTGGCATGCAGAGAAAGTATATGTTCCAAAATGAAATTTGCTGTTGGCGGGGTCAGCTAACTGGCTACGAGGCAAACATCTAATCAGAAGCTTATCACCTCTGTCTATACCATAGGCTAGGTCACTAAAGATTATCCTACCGCAGTCTTTGGCGCTGGCTAAGAACAGAAAAAAACTGCATCGTCGGTTCGTTTAAAACGTATGGTGTCCTGCGTAGCAACCAATCAGATTGCCCCGAAACCTTGCCAGTGGATCCAGGATCCAACTGTAGACAGCTCAAGGCTCGATAACTCCTAGATGAAACAAGCGATGACTCTGGGACATCATTTTAGCAGGAATGTCTGATTACTTATTATGACCTCTAACGTTAGGCAAATCTCCTGAACCTGTTGCCTTCATGGCAGCAGATCATGAAAACGGACGGATGAATAGATATTCTCGAATAAAACCATTTCGACGCGTCTGAGTGTCAATAAACCAGGGATTTTGAAGCCATTGTTGATGCAGACAAATTTGCACACTGACAAGCCACTTTTCGTATCTGCATACTAAGCTTCTGGCTTGTACTTACGTGTCTCTGCACTACCTTCAATCGATACTGTTTCTGCTGACTAATCTGCTAACTGACTGATTCCATCTGTAACAATCAGTAGAGTTGAACTCTATGCAGCCATTGTTCAAATCAATATAGACCCCATCCAGTGGAAGTTTCACCTTCGAGTAATACCAGCGTTTTCATCCCGGCCGAGTACTCAATCAATCACCTTTACTACTGTATCAGTCGACATGAATACCTTCTGATTTTCAGAAGCTGTAATCTACAATATAGTAACAGGCAAATAATACATGGCCAAACAAAACGGAAATAAAAGCACTCCTGTACGCAGCTGCATCAAAAGAAGCGAGCAGAGTCAGCAAAGGCGTCTACAGACTGATCTGTTTGCTGGCTGTCGGTGCTAAGGCAATTCAGAGTTTCTTTAGAACTTTTTCAGACGTTCGTAGTGCTCGAACCAGATATGACACAATAGAGCAGCTACAGATTCTGTCTGAGCGCGCTACCCCATCACATGTTTTAGTGAAAGCATCGTAAACGTCAGTCAGGTTAAATATTTACTATTATAGCAGGTAGCAGCTGTAAACAAAACAAAGCTGCACAGATGAAACGCATAGCGCATGTACTTAGAAGTATTTTCAATTGCAACAGAAATGATTGATGATGCTCGAAGAAGAATGGATGAAAGATGCCGAAAGATAGTCTTTCGCGACTAATTCATTCGATCGGCGCTCTGGCAACGGGGAGACGGTGGAGAAGTAGAGATGAGATGGCAAATGTGAGCAAGCGGTGAAGAAAAGACCTCAAGTTAGCGATGTGAAGTAAGGTAAATCAGTGGCAAGTACCCTCAGACATGCCAAAAGCCAGGTGATGGACGACAACAACGTGCAGTTAGTCTGCGAGGCCTTCTCATAACAGGACCTCGTGTATGGCCAGTTTTCTTCTTTCAGCGAAAACTCACTACAATTTCGAGTTTCCCGCACTGTCTGGTAGAAGAGCTGTTTCAACCAATGGCTGTGAAGTGGAAGTTTATCATGGCGGTGAAGGGTCAAAAAATATTTCGACCAGTGGTTATGTTAGTGTTTATCACGAACCAGGTGTTCAGTGGTTAGCTTCGCACCACAGTGCTCTGTTTACGGCTAGAAACTGAGAACCGACACCGACTCATATCTATCGTGAAGTGAATGTTCACAGTGAACCGAAAAGGCTCGATGTCAGTTACAGGTTGAAGGTCCTTAAGAATGAAACCCTGTTATCTGGTCAACAGCAAAGTTAGCATATAGAGAGAGCAAAGTGAGTTAGGGTAGCGAGGGGAAACCGATTCCGGAAACAGCTGACAGAGAGGTTTCTCAGCCAGCCGTAGTGCAACAGTTGTGACTCGATGACGATGAAGTAACAACTGCAAGCGTGCAAAATCTTCTTTCCCTTACCGATGACCACATGAACAGATAAATCTGCGGATTATGTCACAGCACCAGATACTGACGACACGTAATTAGCTGATCGTGAGACTCAAAGCCTGACCTAATCTACAAAACTGTTCTAAGAACTACCATCAACCAACGATAACAATGAGTAAGACGTATAATTATTCAAAACACAACAGCTGCTTCATAGAGCAAGCCAGCTGAACTGGCGGGGGGCAGAATATTTATGATTGAAGAAAATATTATGCAGATATTGATGGGTGCTTGAATGATTCATGGTTCAGGGCACAAAATACAACACGTCGTAAAACAGTTCGTTTCGCTGCATAGACCGTAGCATCATCAGGACTAGACCAAATACAGGTTCGTACAAATTTGTACAAGTGATGCATAAAGCATCAGAGCGGCAGTGTATGTCTCAAACAGCGTTTATATTCGCAAGTTGGAAAATATGAATATTTAAATTTGAAATGTAAACTGCTTCCGCTCTTCAGATCATCAGCAACATTAGCACATGATGGGAATTAGGCGACTGAGCCCAGGCACTACGAATCATGACCATATCAGCGTTGAAATATTGTATAGGAGCTCGGGTAAGCTGTTTTTTCCGCATTTAGCGTTGCTTTTAACCCTGGTCATCGAGCCCCAGGCTCATCGCAATAAAAACGCCTTTTGCCACATTAGTATTCTTCGATGCTGTTGCGAGGAGCTAATACTTTAGCACTGCACAGGCTGATAAGAGTAACGGATCAGAACTGGTTTCTCAACATCAGATGATGTGATTTTGCCTGAAACTCAACTTTAGCTAAACTCACTCAATCATCTCTCTCCATCAGTTACATAACAAGACGTTCAACCCTATTTGATCATGTAGCGGAGCCATCGCCAGAAGTTAGTGTCTGCTGGGCCCAGGCCATGGCTATAGGCATTCGGAATACGGTTTCTGATCCGTATGTTTAACGATATCCCAGAGACAGGCTTCTTTTGACAGGGCTGCTAAACGCTACCTCTTTACTACCACAACCACACCTTACCTACTTTAACGGATCTCTCGGCTTCACAGAATGGTCTCCTTAACTCATACAAAAGCATCGTTCCTATAATGGCTAAACCATGGAAGGCCATTTCACTCAGCCACACACTCCTACGTCACTGATGACCTCACTAAACAAAAAATATATGAAAATGTTTTGCCTTGCCGCATGCACTACACACAAATAAAGTAACTTCAGACCCAGTTGCGTGAAGAAGGGAAGAAGTCCAGTTCGTAACTTCTTGGTGTCCTTCGTCATTCTACGTCTGAACACCAGGACCGCCAGATTCAAACCTCAGCATATTTAGTATCCCCGGACCAATCGTTCATCATAATGGTTCCAGTACTAAAGATTATGTTGGCTATCGATTGGAACTCAGCTACTAAATATTCTTCCATATATAGGCTTCTTTCCAGATTTTGCTTCCTCTTCTTCTGTACTGACAGAATTGGAGGTGAAGCTCTGATCATTGCGCTAGCACAGGGTCAAACTAACACCGGTTTAACCAATTGGTTCTCGTTACGTAGGGGCTGATGTCACAGAAATTTTTACGTCATTCGCCGACCACTCCTTTACAGTGACCTTAGGGTTAAAACGTACATGGTGGTTTAACAAATTAATAAACATCGTATCGCGTGTTGTCACTGATGAAAACTTCGTTTTGTGCCTAAAAATTGTGCTGTCTAACACCTCCGTCCGCCGAAGACGACGAAACGCTCGAAGCTGCACTTTTGTCGCTATTTTGTCGATTCTTGGGAACAGATTCGTTGAAAGGTCCGCATTTGTGATGGAAATGAGGGACGCAAAGGCGATTCATTTTCTAGACAATGAACAGCAGTGAAATCAACATTTTTCTAAACACCGCTGAATAGCTGTCGAGAATTTGACCCCTACCACACGAGCTGTAAGCCGGCTCCGCCGTTTGGACGTCGAAATTAGACTTGGACCATTAGTTGTTAACATGGTATGCAAAACGAAGAGAAATAACCCAAATACCACACTCAAATACCGTATGTGCGTAATGAAGAAATAGAGGGAACGTCTTTTAGGGGAGGGGGGCGGCTAAATGAATGCCGTTCTTCGATATTAGCCTGCGGGACACTGGTTTCATTGACCAAAATTCTGTTACATCCATCTGTTTGCAGTCAGCCGACCTTCTCAGACATTTCGTCTAAGGTTATAGTATTGGTCTGTACATGTATCGCTGTATCGTTATCATATTTCGGCATTTTAAAAACATTTGTCAATCCATGTCGTCGGCTGTGGTTACGTCAGACGCGTCTAGTGCTTGATGGCTGATTTCCTTCAATACTGATTCGACTAGACCATGCAAGATGACATTTAAAAACGTTGGTTGCACATGCGTCGATCAGGAAAGCCTTCCTGCGGACTACATCATTGCCTCTTTAAATTTTCAACGTAATAATCGAAGT